CTGCCTCCGGCTGCGAGCGCGGGCCAATCGTGTCTCGACCCCTCGAGACGCGCGGCCAATGGAGCCCCCGGATCCGCCGAGGCCCCAGAGGGCGCGTGAGGGGCTCCGCGCGTGAAGCCGCCTTGCCTCTCGGAGGGAGGCGGGACGCTGACCTAGATTTGCCCAATGGGAGGCGGTGCTGGGGGCGGGACCGTGACCCAGTTCGGGCCAATGAGGCGGGCGGGAGGGGGAAGCACATGGCTCCGCGCGTGCTGCCTGATGGGAGGGGGTGGGGAGGAGAGGCGCCGCTTAAAGGGGCCGCGGCCCAAGTGATTGTTTGGGGAACCAGGAAGCCAGAAATCTGAGTGGCAGGGGCTTAGGGAGAGGGAGATTCGTTTCTGGAAAAGGACGGCTGTTCTTTAATACTCAGATGTTTCCCACCGCGCCTAGAATCAGACCACGGAGAAACCGGAAGTATTCTGTCCCTTTAATAGCTTTGTTTTGGGGGTGACTCCCCTCCCCTCGTGGGGAGGCTTAGGACGGGCGGGCGCAATCCTCGATGGGGCGTCTCAGCGACCATGAGGGACACCATCCACTGTAAGACAGAGGACACCGGCAGGGGGCGTTAGTGGATGAGGCGCCGTTTACGGGCCGCGCGGGGAGCGTGGGCTGGGCCGCGCGGGGCTCTACCACGGGGAGTCCGCGGAGGGGGAACCGGAATGTACCAGGCTGAGAAGCTGGGGGGAACGGTCAGTTCCTGGACCAGCACTGGGCTGAACCATAGGGAGGCAGCCGGAGAGGGGAAGAGGGACGTACAGATTCGGTATTAGGCCGAACTATTTGAAGGTCTTCGGGAGGGGGGTCTGGGCTGTACCATATTAAGAAGCCAGAGAGGGGACCCTTAGATCACTGGGCTGATCCACAAGGAGGCAGAATGGAGGGAAAGGGGTGGTACCTTGTCGATTCTCGGTAAGGGGGAGGGGGACGGGCAGATTGTGGAACAGGTTCGTGCTACAGGGAAACAGGGAGAAGATCCAGACAGTACCATTTTGGAAATGCACCGTATACGCGGCACGAACCAGTAGGTAATTGTACTAGAAGGAAGTCGGGGGGCTCGGGTCATGTACCAAGTTGCAAAGCAATGAAGACAGAGAAATCATGGACCAGCGAGGGTCTAGGGCAGGGAGGTGGGATGTACCACGCAGACACGCAGGGAGAAGGGAGAAAGGCAGTGAGACCACACAGAAGCAGCAGAGCGGCTGGGACTGACTTGCGTTGAGACACCCTGGGGAGACACTTAAGCGGGTTAGAGCAAGACGTGGAGGGGGCTCACACTGGACCATACCATGCAGGCGGTAGTTGGGGCCTCGGCAGCGCCTCTCGGGGTGCCGGGGGTCCCTGTTGCCCCTCAGTGCCCTGTGGGCCAAGGGCTGCAGGGGCCGGCCGTTCCCGCTGAGGCTCTGGAAGATCTGGGACGGAGGATTCTGGCTCAGGAGTCTCAGGGAGTGCATCTGCCGGGATGGGAAACTGGGAGTGAATCGTGAATGGTCCGGGTGACGTCACGCGGGAAACCCCGCCCCTGTGAGCGTGTGGGCGTGGCCTGTTCTCAGCTCCGCCCCCCGGGTTGTCTGATCCTCTTCCCTCCTGGAACCCGGTCCGTGAGCCGAAGGAGGGTAGATGAGGCAAGGGGGTACCCAGGCGAGTGAGTGGGGTACCCAGGCCTGGGGGGAGGGCAGTGCGGACTAAGGGTCACCTGGAGGGAGGTGATATTGAGGGCCCGATCAATAAGGATCCAGGTGACAGTCTCCGAGCAGGGTGGGGTGCTGAGAGAGCCCTGATAGGTGATGAAGCCAAAGGATTCGGGGAACAGGAGCTCCAGGCTCAGGTCTTGGAGAAAGTAGGCATCATCTGCAGGAATATCAGGCCAGAGTGAAGAGGGGTGCCTCTCCTGCCTGCTCCCCACGTGTATGGCCACCGCCCCCACCCCCGGCACATCAGGAACTTACTCTTGTAGGAGATGCGGGTGATGGTGTCACGGTTAAGGAGGCGACTGAGGAATGGGTTTGAGCTACTGGCCACCTGTGCAGGGTTACGAGGTGAGGAGGCAGGAGCCCAGAAGTCCAAGCTCTCAACCTCCTCCTCCCCCAGGATCCAGGAGTCTGGGGCCTCCTAGAAACCCAACTCCTCCCTGCCTCAGAATCCTGCCGGCACTCACATTGACAAAGAGGCTGAGAATGGCCAGGCCATTGGGGCCCCGGGAGGCAGCGCTGAGATTCCCGTAGAGTTCCTGGTTGAAGTGAATGAGCTGAACCTGGTGGGAGAGTAGCACAGAGAGTGGAGGTTCCCCAGCAGAAGGGGAGGGGAGAATGACACCAGCTTTGGGGGCCGGAGGCAGGTTGAGGGTTAGTGCTTAGGGTGGATGGCCAGTTCTGTGGAGGAAGAAGGAGTGTGGCATGAAGAAGAGGGTGAGGTGGGAGGAACTGGGGTGACTCAGAGTGGGGGGGGTCTCAGGTAAGAGGTCAGTGGCCACCACCTCAGCAGAGAAACCCTGGTGGTTGATCTGGTGTTCAGAGCCAGCTCCATCGCGCGCTCCAAATAGCAGCCGCAGTTCACTGAGTCGGTGGCTATAGAGGAGGGGACCCCCAGACACATTGACCACTGGGCGGGGTGCAGGCAGGAAGGAGACGTGGCGGCCGGTGTTGTACAGGGTTCCCCGGAGCTGTGGGAGACGCAGAGGCTGTCAGGGGGACACAGAGAAATCCTTTCCCTTCTCTTTTTCTCTCCTGCATTTCCTCAGTCCAGCCCTCATTTAATCATCCCACATAGCTTGAAAACGAATCACTTCCCAGGCTCTGGGCGGGTCTGTAAATAGGTGCCCAATCTTGGTGAATTCATTTAATTAACAACTATTGACTGATGTTGGTGCTGTGTGCCATGGATGACAAGAGCAGAGCAATTAAACAAGGCATCACAAATCCTGGGCTTCATGGAGGACAGACAACAATGGAACACATAAGTCACTGCTTAATTAATTTCATCCTGTGCTCATGCTGGGAGGAACTGGGAGCTCTGAGAAAGTGTAATGGGGATCCCAACTTATATGGGGGTTAGGAAAAGATTTCCTGAGATGACTTTTTTTTTTATTTTTGAGTTGGAGTCTCACTCTGTCGCCCAGACTGGAGTGCAGTGGC